TTACACAACAGGTGATGCGGGTTCAGACGGTTGCTCTGGCTTTCTAAATTAGGATGGAAATATCCTCCTTGGCTAGACCACCGGGATAGACACGGCTGCCCAAGTAGAAAATTGATCTATTACCTCAGTCGGCTCACCCGCAAGCCAGAGGTGTGCGAACCTTTCCACTCAGTTTTGCAGCGCATCGTACTTTTTGGTGTGAATCACATGCCCAACGATGAGGCGGAGTTATTAGTATCATTTAATATCGCCTGCATTCTGATGGTATTAGATCCAAAAGCTATGTCGTCTGCGTAGTCGATATGTGTGGGCCAAGGCCCTGGGAGTATTTCGATCTGAAATGCTCCAGTGGCTGGGGTTGGGTGTACCATGATCATATCAATGACGAATTTGAAAAGAAATGGTGAAAGAGAACAGCCTCGCCAGACACCACTTTATGTAGTGAACTAAGGTGGTTTCCCGTAAACCCTTACATCTCTACGGGAGTTGGTGTTGAATTCGAAAATCTACAGGAGACCATTGTTCCACAAGCGCCACCATGGTGCATCATGGTACACAGAGTCAAAGGAACATTTCAAGTCAAGAAAGAGAACAATTAACGGTTGCTGCTCGTTGTTCCAGAATATGTAGGAGGGTGAAAATGCGATCGATGCATCCTCTTGCATGACGGACCCCGGCTTGGTTTTCACGGATCTGTCTCTCTCTCTCTGTGTTTAGTCAACCTTCAAAAGATATGGCCAGATAGCACCTTCGATGCCACAACTAACGGGCTGAAGCCAAGGTGGCTTCCATACAGCGTCCGCGTACCCTTTTGCAAGCGTGAGGTTTAGGTTTGATCCACGCAGTAGTGGAGTAGTATTTCACACTTTGCAGGTATGAAGAGCATACCGAACCGTTCTGTAGTTATCTAGGTTACTGAACCAAGGACAGAAGTATTGTCTACATGCTGAATGTGTGAGCAAACGTTCCGGGAGCATTTCGACTCCCGAGGTTCCAGGATCTGGCAAGGGAATTTCCAGCAGCGGACCAATAAAGAGGTTGGAAACAATGCATTGGCTTACAATACTAGGCGTGATGAACTCAAATGAAAGCTCCGATGTGCTCGCACGCACCCACGGGAATTCGTATACGGAGCGCTTATACGGGGTATAAGTTTTTAAAGGACATTTGTGTGGGTTTGATCCACGCAGTAGTGGAGTAGTATTTCACACTTTGCAGGTATGAAGAGCATACCGAACCGTTCTGTAGTTATCTAGGTTACTGAACCAAGGACAGAAGTATTATCTACATGCTGAATGTGTGAGCAAACGTTCTCACGAATCTGTCTCTCTCGATCATCGGCCAACATGCGCGAAATAGTGCCAGAGAACACCTCAGATGCGACGGATACATGGTTAATGCCACGACGATTTTTACACCACGTTTTTGCACCTTTTCAAAAACCGAAATGACTGTCGAGGAGTTCCATTTCACTAGTATTCTTTTGTAATCCAAGACTGTTCACCAGGACCTCACCACTTTCTTTGAAGATCACGTGGTAAAGACCATCCTGCCTTATCGCACTGGAGGATCGATATCTCGTGCTGGAACTTCGTTTTCGATGGGAGGCTGACGTCGATATTCTGTTCAGGCCGGTGGTGTTAAAGAAGATCAATTATTTCTTCCGGACTAAGTCGTCTAACCTGGGCATTCATATCACCCACCAGGATTAATGTAGCGGGTCTTTTAATGAACGGATCTGCCATGAGGGAGTAATGTCTGTATTGATGTCTGTCTGCACATACGCTGATATGGCGAAGAAACCCTCCCAAGGACACTTCCAGATTTGAGGACGACTGCAAATCCCACACCGTAGATGCCACAGTCAATTGCGCCAGGATCACCAGATACACGAAGAGCGAAACATTGGGCTTTTGCGCTCATTCCAGTTGGCTGGAGGTGTGCAACCGAAGTGAGGTCTTGTATGTAGATTTTTGCAGCAAATCACCAGCGATGAACACTGATGTTACGCTGTCGATGATGACGATGCGTGTTACGAGAACATAACATACATGGATTGATAGAAAAAGCAGGGTTTTTGCAAAAGATACCTGTTGCCCAAATCGACTTAGGTAAGGACGTTAAAAACTGCAATCAACTCCCTTGAGGCTATTAGGTGATTATTTTGGTTTATTTTTCTGGGCGATACTTTGGACACCAAATAATGGTTAGGGGACTGGCAGATGGGTTGATCGCACCACATCATTCGATGGACGGGAAGGAGGAGTGGGAGAAGGCCGGTGGACAGAGATCTGAGAGGACAAGTGATAGAGCACTATGGCCACGCTACAAGCCGTCGTCGTTGAAAATACGGTTGGCTCGGTCGTTCTGAACGCTTCAGTTTATTTCTCCAAAAGTGGATCATCACCCTTGGCGTTCGTATTTTTAGCTTTCCTTTATTCAATATAGTGTTTTGAATGAATGGCCCCGTGAATGCCACCGACTTTCCATTTTTTGTACGATAAGCATCTGTTTGGCTATCCCTCCTCTTAGACCGCACTTGACAACTCCTAAACAAGGTATTTCTGCGTGACGCTGTTTCGAGATAGAGATCCAAAACGTTGACGCAGCGTCCTGAGTGTTGCGAGCATCGACACGCACGGCGTGTGACCCAGAGCCCGCGGCAAGCCAAAATAGTGCATCCATGACAGACAAGTACTTCGACGCTATTTCGGAAATCTGTTGTAGACATTCTCATTCTGGAAGAAAACTGGATAATGTTAATGTAACCTGCAGTCTGACAAACGTTCCCTTTCGGTTCACTCAGCTTTTTCGAACTATTTCGGAAATCTACTGTAGACATTCTCATTCTGGAAGAAAACCGGATAATGTTAAGGTAACCTGCAGTCTGGCAAACGTTCCCTTTCGGTTCACTCAGCTTTAGGTACTTGGAACGGCCTACTCTAGGATATTGGCACTACTGACTGAAGGAGAGAGTCGGAAATTCCCTTACATCCTTATTTTGGTGGAAATCGGCAACCATAACGCCTGACGTCACAAAACAAACAGCACCTGACCTTAATCCCCTTCAAGTTCAAGGGTACTGAACTCAACAGATGGCATACACTGATCTCTTCAATGCGAGGAGTGTACGCAGTCACTATGTAACTGTCTAGAAAGTGCTGAATCGTTGAAATGAACCAGTGCATTTGCTTGTACAAGACTGGAAAAAACTCGCTTTCTCTGATTCGGTATTGCCACACCTACCACCTACTTTGATTCCGATTGTCATTCGTCTTTCGACTGTGCTGGAAATATTAAATGTAACGACCAGACCAATATTTTGACGCTTCTCTCATCGGACTTACCTTCAGAATGGGATAAAATGGGACGAACTGAGTGAGAGAGAAAGTGATGGCTTCAAAGAGCTGTAAAGATGCGAAGGATACCCAATAAACCAACCACTGGGTATCATCCTCCTTTGATTCACTCTCTATGGCTTTCACACTGAAAGTATTTTGTAGAAGGAGAACAAGAAACTCACGATTGATAGGCTGGGTATATAAAACCTACCAGTAGCACTAATGCGTTGGCACCATACCCCAGAAGCAGATAAAGGAAGAGAAGGAACACTCCTCCTACTAAATTATGCTCGCTTTTGAAAATCGCGTACCATAAACTATTGTAGACCTTTCAAATCCAGATTTCTCCTCGCATACATATAAGAAATCGGAAACAGGGCCGGGCTTTCTTAAGGCTTCGTCGAATTGCCGATGTAAGTCAGTAAACATTGTAAGGGGAATAATCAAAATACTGACCCGGGAACAACTTGGACGTTCGCAATCCCGGGAAATATCTCACATAGCGTTGGTGATGTATTTAAACAACACTCAGATCGGATATGTCAAATTTAGGTTTCGAGGGTTTGCGCAAACACAAGTCAATGAATCTTATAATGGCCTCGGTAGATTTTGATTTTTATCATATATTACAGATGTACAGCTGAAGGCGAAAAGTAAAGGAGCTCGACCTCACCCAACTTAGTGGTGTTGCGTTGAAAGTTGATTTTTTTCCATGGAAAGTGGTTAGCGAATTCCTTTGCTGTGTCGCCAGTTCATTAAATAAGTATGCGTCTTTTTTCATCGCAGTATTTTTCACAGAAGCACATTCTGTAATTGAGCAACGTCCTGTCACTTTGTCTCACTTTCTCTGTGCGCTAGTTCTCTTCACCTCGGGTACAATAATTACTCTAAAGACAATAAATCCTCCTCCCATGACGGACCTGATTGCTTATTCTTCGCTGGGAAAAACAATTTTAAAAGTTCAAATTTAATCAGGACCCTTGAATAAAATCTAATATGTCTTCTGGCGTTCGAAGATGCGAGCACAAATAAGGTACGGTCCGTGTTGATCATGTAGGGTCTTTCAATAACCCGTTTCCAGCCAAGATCTCACTTTAAAAATCTAAAAATTCGGCCGAGCATTCCGTGGCATCACTAGTGGAGAGNCCAAGATCTCACTTTAAAAATCTAAACGTACGGCCGAGCATTCCGTGGCATCACTAGTGGAGAGGTTACGGTCATTTGTCGTGGCGCCAGCCTGACATCAGCACCGGAACGCACGTCTTTCTACCAAATTTTCTGGACCAAAATACATTTTCTCATGAAAAACTACGTAGATTTTTTAACCACAGTGGCGATTTAGGAAAAGCTAAATATTTATCTTTTGAGCCGTGTTATCTGGCTTCTTTCTGGAGCGGCAAATGAGGACGCATGGAGATTTCCAAGACACACTGCACTAGGGTCGTCTACTTTGGTCCAAGCCGGCATCTTCGCATGTCTTATTTGTAGACTGTTTATTAAGCACATCTGTGCGCTTTATAGACGAGCCCGGGTCTTGACCACAATCAACTTAATTGCTCACGTTAGGGAAAAGCCCGAAATTCATTGCCACACAGGGGAGAAGTTTCATAATTACAAACGCCAACCTGATGTGACACGCGATCTCTTGCAAACCAGCGGTCGTTGCCGCTAGTTGGCAGGTCGCATTGCACAGAAAGCTCAATTATCCGTAGTCATCCCACCACCTGGGTTGAGGTTAAGTAACTTTGACCACTAACGACAGGTCATAAGTGAGAGTCTTTAAGCCCCCGCGTAGCAGGATTTCCTTTTGGCCACCCGCCGCCAAATGGCGTGGCCATCCTGAGCTCAAGCGCCTGCAGTTTATTCACCATAGGGCTAAGCTGTTTAGGCAGATCATTAAAAATTGATGGCTGTGGATTTGAAACAGATGGATGGGTATTTCTTGATCCGGTAGGCTGTAATGTGGAAACCACCGTTAGACTATGAAAAAGCAAAAAATGAAATCATCAATAAATAATGTTCCATGCTGCATGGAGCACGCTGGTCTCGGAATGCGGAGAATCAACTGATACAGAAAGGTTGCATTGTCTGGAGAAGGAAAATGTTCACTTGCGAGCACAGGTGTCAACCGTCTGGGAGTACTTGGGTGGTTATACAAAGAAGTATGGGTTAGTTAACATATACATGTCTTATTATGTTGGTTCGAACACAATCCATGTGGAGCCTTGGGTCACAACATCAAGTGCCACAAAAAGAAGGAAAATGTATACATTGTTGTTTGATTGCATAATTGAACGTTTACAACCTAGTCGTTGTCTCCAAAGATTTTCCTTTGTTGGACACGCACTTAAGGAAAAACCTGATGATCATCATCGCACATGTTGCAAAGTTCACAATCACAAAATTAACGAAATGTGACGCGCAATCCCTCGTACGCTAGAAGCCGTTTCCATCATTCGGCTTATTACAAAGCGCATATTAGCCGAACTTTGTGTCCCTAAATCATCGTCTGGTTTGAGGCGCAGTGTCCTGGACCAGCGATATCATGTCGTTCACCGCAGATTTCGAGCCTCCGCACTGCCTGATTTGTCCCTGGGGTGTGAGGAATGTGATGGGCTCCAGGGTTTGAAATATGACAGCCGCCGTTGGTGAATGGAAAAGCAGCATGGGAAATCATCAATGAATGCCATTTCTCACCGATTGGTACAGTCTGGCCTCATGTGAGGAGTGTGATGGGCTCCAGGGTTTGTAATAGGACAGCCACCGTTGGTGGATGGAAAAGCTGCCTAGGAAATCATCAGTGAATGCTATTTCTCACCGATTGGTACAGTCTGGCCTCTAAATGCGACGTACAATAGATACAGGGAAATCACGTTGTCTGGAAGAAAGGGTGTGTGCATGTGTCAGGGTGGGTATCAACTTTCTGGGGGAACTTCGATGTTTGCACCAGAAGCTTCAAGTTATTGAACGAAAAAATAGCTTACCTCGTTGTTTCCAACAAGATGGTGGTGCAGTCTCAGGGATTCTTCCATGAAAAACGTCTTCAATTGGTGTTAGTTACTATTATATCCACGAACAATCCAACCTGTTTAGGCAAAGACTCGTGATGTTCGCTATCGACGAAGGTACACGTGAACGGGCGCCCGGTACCATTATGTGCGATCGTGAAGGTGCGTAGTCCAAAGCTATGGACCACATACCAGCTGCTTTGAAAAGACTCATCACATTAGGTTGGTAGCTTATTTACCACCACCAAATACTACATCTAGGAAGCGCTGCTGCGCATTTTATTGACTGATGTTGGCTCCGCCCATTCTCTCTATGAAAAGGGTGGTGAATTCTGTGGAAACTCTGGGTTCTCTGTGCGTTTTCTTACGTACTAGATTTGGGAATAAACTCAAATTGACTTAGACAATAATCTTGCCCACTACGCTTGCGAAAACTCAGATTGGATCGGCCATTCGCAACCTGAATATGAAAAATTCTTCCATCGCCGCTGCAAGCGTCCAGCTGAAGGCAAGAAATTCGTCGAGGTTTGTAAGTCCCTTGTTCTTAACGATGGCAAGCATACATGATACCTGGCTTAAGGCAAGGCTTAATATTCATTGATATACCTTGACACCAATATTTCCATTGAATAAACTATTGAGTTTGTGTGCAGAACAACCAGGTTACACGTTAAGGTGGTCACTGCCTATTAGTCCTTTCACGACTAAACCGGTCTGGAAAATATTAGAGGTATAGTGTACTACGGGCAGGCAATCAGACTGAATATGGTGGTCGCGGTACCGCCATCGCGCCCCCCCACTTGGGTCCATGGATATCCATGAACATCGTGGATGAACCGCTTATGGTTGCCGTTTAGTTAGGATTTTCCTGCGTCTAACGAGGGTTCACGATGGTTCATTGCTGTCATTCAAACGAGGTAATAAGACAGCCATGTCTACATTGGGGACTCAACATAGGAAAAAGCGTCCGAAAGGTTTGCTAGAAAGCACTGATGTGAGTTAGAATGCCGCCCGAAATAACAGACAGTCATAAGCTGTCACAATTCCCAACTAGTTCGGTGAGGCGACACCGCCCGATTTCAAAAACGGTAATCGATATTTACGTGCAGACAATAAGTGTGTGGCCGACGCTAACGGGATTTGGAATACGTAATTATGGGGAAGACAATAAGTGTGTGGCCGATGCTAACTGGATTTGGAATACGTAATTATGGGGGACGTGCATCGGCTAGATCGTGCAAATTTAATTTGTCTTGGATCGTGCAGGCACATGAAATCTGATATATACGGTGTTGCTGCATGTTTTTACGATGACATGACCGCAGAATAGAGCTGTCACAGCCCAAAGAAAAGCGAGAAGCGGTGCAAAACCAGTTGTGTCTGAGGCGTCACATCACGTGTATTTGGTAAGTCTTTGTTAGCATCTTTTGTTCTCCTATCGATGATGATAATGATGTTGGCTTTTGGTGTGCGCTTTGTACGCGTGAAGTGTCACGTTATAGTCACGAGTGTTTCCTAAGAACTCCGCGATAATATAATACTAAAATTTTATTTCACGTCGTATGTGTCACCAACTTGCCCCCTGGCTGAATTATTTTTAGAGGGACGGAATCGTGCTTTCTTGTAAGTGAAATTTAACGTTTCTCTCAGCTTCCTTGCCAAACGAAGTTTTTTTCCACTACATTCCCGGCACTTCGAATGAAGGCATACATGCAACGGGGTGAACAGCGTACAAAAAACCTCTTCAGACCCGGAGCGAGACCGGAATGAATTCTTAGTTAAAATAACCAGAAAATACCGATATCATGGCCTTGAAAACAAGCGCGGTGTGTGATATGGTGACATTGATCAGTTTCGTGGTTCCGCTGTTGCTCCCCCACTTTGTTTTCTCGCAGTTCGCCCATCCTTATTATCCATACAAGAGAAAATCACAAAACGAGAGAGCTTTCCACGAACTCGAGTCATCGTGTGCCCAAAACTGTCCCGCGGCTCCTGAATTATTGCACAAAAAGTGCACACGTACCTGCATGAGTGAAACCTGTTATGATATTCTCTACTCTTTCGACGAATTAGAGGAAGGCGAAATTGACGTGAGACTGTCCTCTTTCAAAGGCTGCGTGATCCAACAGCTGAAAGTCAAAGATTCACGCCTACTTTGAAAACGGTGAGTCATGTTTCCTCTTTGGAACATTGATTGATTACCAATGACTGCCAGTGAGTGATTACCAAGGCACTGATGGGACCGAAGTGTCTTTTTTATTGGCATTCAGACATTATAGAATGGGGCGAAGAAGATCTTCGCCCCAAGTCTCTTTGCAGACACCTACTGGTAGTCCTCAGGTAATGCGTTTCACAGGATTAAGCCTAGATGATCTCTTCATTTTCCGATGACCCAATACCCAACGAACATTAATCAAGGAACTAGCCGACCACCGTAAGGATGCGGTTCACGCCTCAGCGAGTGGATAAAAGAAGCTCCCATCTACGATGACTCGCATAGAGCACCTAGACATGAAATTGATGAGGCGCGAGAGAGCACCTCCTCAAACTTCATTTCGTTTGGGTATGATCTTTAAGTGAGGGACTGCGTATTTGGTCTCATAACTCAGTCGTTTCTTTACATGGACGCTGATTCAGCAAAATGAGGCGCGAGAGAGCACCTCCTCAGACTTCATTTCGTTTGGGTATGATCTTTAGGTGAGGGACTGCGTTTCTTTACATGGACGCTGATTCAGCAAGTTGGAATGTTTAGACAGCCATGCGAAAGCTCTCCTTCCGTGTTCTGTGAAGTACGTTCGAAAAATCGTGAAAGATGGCAAAAAATAGAAGAGGATAAATAAGAAAGAAAACCCCATATATTTACCAGTTATGCTGAATATCCGATTGTATTGTGTGTCTAATTTGTAGTGGTTAACGGCCCTATGGAGTCTCTAGTGAACAGAACAAATTACTGATGTAAGCCAGATACAAAGTCACAAGGAGAAAAATCCAAGTAAATCTTGACTCACAGTTCAAAATAGGAGATTCCGTAGTTCCGTATTCCGTTGAACCACCACGCCAAGAGTAGTTCTATCTTCATGGTATTCCAGATCTCCACAAGTACTGCCTACTTTCTCCATTGCTTCATTTCCTGGTACTTCTTACAACCAAGTGGGAGTTCATTTGCAGGGGTGACGCATTTCTGCCCATGACCCAGAGGTCAACTTACGCCCTATTTTTTGCGCACGAAGCACAAACGGTCTCTGCATGCGGTAATACTTAATTGTTTAGTCTGGATCGAACGAAACGTATTAGTTGCATGTATGAAGGAATATAGGTCGTGGAGCACACTTCGGCATGCGCCAGCAAGGATCAAGACATTCGCAGCCACCTTGGCAGGCCAACAACATGCGGGAGGCTCATAACAAATCTCAGTATATCCATGGTGCCACCTGAGGGAATGGAGGATAGCACTGGATGAAAACAAGACTATGAATCAGATCAAAGTTACTGAGGAGAGAAGAGCTCCGAAACAATATCAGTATCACTTAAATCAGTGGTCATTAGCTCTTGTTCCCAGGATCTTGGTGAAAGCTAACTGAAGCCAAACACCGCTGAGACCCCTTTTATTGTTTCGGACCCCCCCCCCCCGCCAATTGGTGAGCCCGGACTACTGGTGACCACTGGTTAAGCGTATGCTTCAAGTGTGTGATACTACCAGCTTGCACCACACTTAAGAAGCTAATTCTACCCTGATACTGATAGTGCTTTATTTACCGTCTTTCCCCATTTACGTGCGAGTGAATTCCTCTTTGGCCTTGTGTGTGAACTCGTGGTACCACGGTCGAGTCCACCTATATAAGGCAGTCCTTTCGGCATCCTGATTACCTTGGTCAAGTTTTCCGCCAACCGTCGACCTTTTACCAGCAACAACTTGGGATTTTTAAATCTCGCATCACAATATTTATCTCTCAGACCAGGAAAGTGCGTGGCGAAAACTCCGGATACTTTTTTGTCGGCGCAACATTCTTCCTAATGTAAGATACTCTGTATGCTAGGTGGAGCATGGCAAACCTCATGTACTGAAGCAAAAATGTCTCAAGATTTCGGCTAGATGCAGTGCCTGAGCCTTGTCAAGCTCTGGTTACCCATTCAGGTTGCGTCAGCACACATTTCGCTGGATTGGAAATCATCAAAACACATATACTCCTTCCTTGACTTTAGGTATTTTAACCGACCTCACTCATGTTTCTACATTCACTAGAAGTTCACATTTTCTCGTCCACTTGGTCAACCGATCGAGGTCCGCCCTCGTTTTTTCATTCGGATGGATTTCCTTGAACCGTGACGCATTCAGCGAACATGTAATAATAGTAGTTAAGAAATGATATCCAATCGTTGACGAATTTAGGGAAAAAGCAATCCCACCACTATGGATCCTATCGTTGGCCATACCCTCTCCAGTTTCCATTTCGTCCAACTCCACAACAAGGCTGTGTTCCACTGGAAAATTTCTTAGCGAGTCAGATGAACGTACAACTAACCCAGAGGCGCTGGTTGTTAGTAGCGTTATCAAAATCGGTGGGTTTTCCCTAAATCCGAGTGAAATACCGCGACTTCCCCGCTCTTTTTGGTTCTTTAACGGCATCTGTCATAGAGCACAAATGGTTTTCATTGCAACAATGTTTGTATCTCACTAACCTTTTTGGTTTTACTTAAGGTGCCCGCGTTCGCATAGTCTGCTTTCAGATCCGTTTAATATTTATGGGTCCAATAAATAGTCTCCTGGTCTTTCGTATTTGAAGTAGGAATTGCGACTATTTGTTCCTTGAAATTCGCATTACACCTATCACCGCTGTCTTGCGGTCAGGCTTTTGAGTTACAGGCTTTGATTAAAGTCTGTGATATCCCTCTTGTCCAGGTCTGGGTCCCTTGGGAGTACCTCTCACACATGCGTAAACTTCACAAGAAAAAGTACTTTCTTGCCACATCAGCTTCGCGCAGTGACATTAGGCAGGTCGCCTTAGTCGCTACATACAATAAGGTGTTTATGAAAAGACATGTGGACTCTGACGTCTTCCATCCACTTTCATTGTTATCTCTTTTATCCTCCAATGTCACAATTGATGATCACCTGCCCGTCAGTCCGGCAGCCTGTCACGAAGAGACTGGACCTTACCGTTTATGAAAAGTGGACTCTGACGTCTTCCATCCACTTTCATTGTCATCTCTTTTATCCTCCAATGTCACAATTGATGATCACCTGCCCGTCCCGTCGGCAGCCTGTCACGAAGAGACTGGACCTTACCGTGGTGTGACGGTTTGCGCACCTCAGCGATCCATTGAGCTATACTGGAGTGAGTGTCCCGCGACACTCACAGAGTCTCTCATACCAGGTTGGTCAATGGTTAGAGGTCTGACGAACACAGTCTCCTGGCCCTCCAGGTTGGGGGTTGGAACATGTGGCGACTTGTTCCGTAGAAATGGTAATGCATTTGCATTTCCCGCCAAACACCGCTGCCTTGCGGTTAGGCTTTTGAGCCAAAGGCTTTGGTTGAGGACCCTAATCGTCCTCCTGTCCAGGTATGGGCGCCCTGGCAGTATCCCAGCCCACGTACAACCATGAA